TGATAGACCCTTCATTCTTTGTAAGTGGGAAAAACTTACAAATTCTGCAGGGGGTCATAAAATTTTTTCCCCATTGTACTCTGTGTGTGTGTGTGTGTGTGTGTGTGTGTGTGTGTGTGTGTGTGTGTGTGTATATATATGAAAGTGACTGGAGAGAAGCGCCTTAGTACTAAACAATTGTAAAGCTGCTATGCACGAATGAGGTACCAATAACCCCTAGAAGACCTTACTAAACATAAAATAAAGTGCAGCGCTAAACATATATAGATAATGACATGTATTCAATCAGTTCGATCAATAAAAAGTCCTCCTCAATTAGGTGACAGAGATTAGGTGCTCAAGTATGCAGGTGACTTAGGTATTCAGGTGACTTGGTTCAGGTATCCGTGCACGAAAGTGATAAAGCAATGCGCACTCACCAGACCCGCATAAAATATGCGCCTTTGTGTATAAATGATCCAGATGTCATCCGATACTGGGTGGTCCTCCCTCAGCTGTGTATGAGGCTGATGATCCTCTCCACTTAGGGGTCCCCCTGGTGTTGGACGTTAAAGGATCTGGTCTGGGTCCCTCCGGTGTATCCAGGAGCAGGTCTGCAAATTAGAGTGCTCCTTGCTGTTCCTTCACATGTGTGTTTCTCTGTGAACAGAGATAGAGAAACACACATGTGAAGAAACAGCAAGGAGCACTCTAATTTGCAGACCTGCTCCTGGATACACCGGAGGGACCCAGACCAGATCCTTTAACGTCCAACACCAGGGGGACCCCTAAGTGGAGAGGATCATCAGCCTCATACACAGCTGAGGGAGGACCACCCAGTATCGGATGACATCTGGATCATTTATACACAAAGGCGCATATTTTATGCGGGTCTGGTGGTGAGTGCGCATTGCTTTATCACTTTCGTGCACGGATACCTGAACCAAGTCACCTGAATACCTAAGTCACCTGCATACTTGAGCACCTAATCTCTGTCACCTAATTGAGGAGGACTTTTTATTGATCGAACTGATTGAATACATGTCATTATCTATATATGTTTAGCGCTGCACTTTATTTTATGTTTAGTATATATATATATATATATATATATATATATATATATATATATATATATATATATATATACACACTCACTGGCCACTTTATTCGGTACAACTTGCTTAGAGCCAAGAAAATATCCCCCATGTTGTTTACACCAAATTCTGACTCTACCATCTGAATGTCACAGCTGCAATCGAGACTCATCAGACCAGGCAACGTTTTTTTCCAATCTTCTGTTGTCCAATTTTGATGAGCCTGTGCAAATTTTAGCCTCCATTTCCTGTTCTTAGCTGACAGGAGTGGCACCTGGTGTGGTTTTCTGCTTCAAGGTTCAACATGTTGTGCGTTCAGAGATGGTATTCTGCCTACCTTAGTTGTAATGAGTGGGTATTTGAGTTACTATTGCCTTTCTATCATCTTGAACCAGTCTACCCATTCTCCTCTGACATCAAAAAGGCATATTCATCCACAAAACTGCTGTTCACTGGATATTTACTCTTTTTTGGACCATTTTCTGTGAACACTAGAGATGGTTGTGTGCGTGTAAATCCCAGTAGGTCAGAAGATTTTGAAATACTCAGACCAGCCTGTCTGGCACCAACAACCATGCCACGTTTAAAGTGTCCTAAATCCCCTTTCTTCCCCATTCTCATGCTCGGTTTGAACTTCAGCAAGTCGTCTTCACCACGTCTAGATGCCTAAATACATTGAGTTGCTGCCTTGTGATTGGCTGATTAGCAATTTGTGTTACCAAGCAATTGAGCAGGTGTACCTAATAAAGTGGCCGGTGAGTGTATATATAGAGAGATAGAGAATTAAAGAGTGTTAGAAAGCAGGGTCAGCTCCATGTTGCAGGTTTCTGTCAAGATGCTAGAACAGAGAAAAATTAATAGAAATATGTGATGTTCTTACTATATTAGTTCAGTCCTCCCTTTCCCATAATATTATGTCTGAATACTCTTATTAACACCTTAGAATATCGAAGGGCTGCTATTTACACTTGAACAGTGCGTTGGAAGCTGATCCCTCCTTTCAGACTTTGACTAAAGTTTTAGCGCTTTGATTGGGTGCTGAAATGCCAGCACAGTCAGACTATAGATCAGGGGTCTTTCTCATCAGATTAATGGGTAAGCATAAATGCTCTTTTCAAAGGCATATTGCATATTTATGTCATTTAGGCAAGAATGGAGATTGGAAGTAGACATCTTCCCATGCCGGGTTATCTCAGGCAAAGCTTTCCAGCCACGATCAGTCCTTCTCCTTAAAGTCAACTGGCTACTGTCATAGATGCAAAATTGTGGAAAGTGATGACTGATCAGATTAAAGGGAATGTATTGTTGTTTCAAAATGTTTTCAGGTAAAACAGATTAGCTTAGTATACTGTAAATAATCTTGTCAATGTGCATTGATATTTAAAGTACACTGCACTGGAGCAACACAAACCAAAAACTCTTTTTAATAATTTTTTATTTTTCAAAGCAAACTCATCCATGCTTTATTTTGCTGAAAAATCACTTTGAAAAACACCCACTAGCATTTCTGGCCATGATCATCTTGAGTAAGGGCAGATGATTTGTCTACCAATTACTTACTGGAATCCATCTGCCCTTAGCTCAGACAGGAGGGTGTGCTTAGCTGAGAAAACCCCTTCTCCCCTCATGAAGACTCCTCCTGGGATGTATGACATCATTTGCCTAGGCCTGTTAACAAGGAAGTGACTGAAGAAATGTAAAAAAAAAGTTTATAACAAGAAATTATGATATACTTTCCTATCTATTTACTAATGCAAGAAGCACAAGTGTTAAAATGGTGTTGATTGAGAGAGTAAAGTTCCACTTTAAACACATTTCTATGTATAATTATTAATTATTAATTGAAATATGACTGATTTAATTCACCGGTGTAGTATGGACTAGGCAGCCCTAATGTGGGGTTTTAGTACAGACAGCAAGAGTTCTCACAGAAATTCTGGTTTATACTGACCACAAACAGCTTTCTGCCTACAAGATCGATCCACCAAAAATGGTACACTCCCCCGTGGCACATATCAAGGTGGCTGAGTGTTTATAGTGGTATACAGAGTTACCACTAGTAGCCAGTTTACAGGTCTTTATAGTCAATACAATATCAAAAATATGGAATACAAGTAAAAAGTATGAGTCGCATAAATATTACATTACAGTAAATGGTGTAATAATAACTTAAAATACACGCTCACTAAAAATAAATTATCCTTTATTACCTTTAGGCTGAATTGGAGGTATAGCTTGGAGTGCATTCATTACTTGCTGTTTTATCAAAATTATATGCTTTAGGTCACTCAACTAATATTTTGCCAGAAGCCATTGTGAGCTTGAGTGCAGATCTAGAATAGTTGACATTAGCAGGTATTCAGCAAATACTGTATGTGCACTTTAATTAATAGTCAATGATCATTAATTGAAGTGGCATTTATGGTGGCCTGGTTACTCTGATGCATGGTAGTGATATTTCTTTAAGTTTGTTTTATTTCATGATAGCAGCCTTCACATTTTCAGTAATTTTGTCCATCTTTCATGTATGTCTTTTTGGAGTTGTTTGTGACGACTGACATTTTGAGGCTTTTATCTTTCAGCTGGTTACAATTCAAAGTGTTGCCTCCCAGACACCTGTGGAATATAATAACTCGCTCTCCTGGTGGAGTTAACATGGTCTTTGTGTTACTGGAGATCGACCAAGCGAGAGATTGAAGTTGCAATGAGAGATAAAAGCTTTTTAAAAGTGATGTAGGTGTCGGTACATTAAAGAGGGACTGTTAAACCACAGCACATATAAATGGGTATATTAAACTATTGAAGATGAAAGAAAGTCTAGTGCTTAAAGGTTGTGAATAACCGACCTCTGTCAAAGAAATTGCTTATATTCAGGCTTATTTAAAGAGGCAGTTCAATCAGCTGTGATAAGTAAACTGTGCAGTAGCCTATAGCAACTCTCCAGATCATTCTCTCTAATCAGCTAGCAGACTGACAGCCTGAGCCAACGGTGACTTTGTGGAAATCTTCCATTGGCCTCAACATCTGCTGGCTGTAGCAGCAAAAGCAGTAGTGTTAAAGTGACACTAAAGCTTCGTTATTTTATTTTTTTATAACAAACATGTTTATACTTACCTGCACTGTGCAGAGGTTTTGCACAGAGTACCCCTGATCTTTTTCTTTTTGGGTCCCTGCTGGCGTTCCTGGCTCCTCCCCCTCGAGCAGTGCCCCCAAGGAAAGCTGCTTGCCTTGGGGGCACCGCTGCATGCTCGCCCCTGAGCCACCGCTCTATGCGTCCATAAGACACATAAAGCCGAGGCTTGCCCCATCCGCTCTCTTCTCATTGGCTCACTGGCTGTGATAGACAGCAGCGACAGCCAATGGGTTCCCGCGGCTGTCTCATCCAATGAGGAGGAAGAGTCCCCAGACAGCAGAGGCCGTCGAGAACATCACTGGATCAGAGAGGGTAAGGTTTGGGGGGCTGGGTGGCCGCTGCACACAGAAGGTTTTTTTAACCTTGCGTATAGAATACATGAAGGTAAAAAAAAACCTTGAGCCTTTAAAACCACTTTAAGGCATTCAGACCTTGCGCACTGGTGTTTTGCGTTAACACAGGTTTTTTCAGACATTAACATGCATTGCATTAGGGCAGCCTATTTAACCGCTAGCCTACAGGGCACTTATACCCCCTTCCTGCCCAGGCCAATTTCCAGCTTTCAGCGCAGTCGCACTTTGAATGAAAATTGCGCGGTCATGCAACACTGTACCCATATGAAATTTTTATAATTTTTTTGTGACAGATAGAGCTTTATTTTGGTAGTATTTAATCACCTCTGGGTTTTTTCTTTTTTCTTAAAAAAAAACATAAACCACTAAAAATTTTGAAAAAAAAATAGTTTTTCTTAGCTTTTGTTATAAAATTTTGTAAATAATGGATTTTTCTCCGTCACTGATATGCGTTAATGAGGCTGCAGTGATGGGCACTGATAGGCTGCACTGATGGACACTGATAGGTGGCACTGATGGGCACTGATGAGGAGGCACTGGTAGGTGGCACTGATGGGCATTGACAGGCATCACTGATGGGCACTGAAAGGCAGCATTGATACATGGCACTGATAGGCGGCACTGACTGGCACTGATAGGCAGCACTGATAGGCGGCACTGACTGGCACTGATAGGCGGCACTGACTGGCACTGATAGGCGGCACTGATGCGCACTGGCACGAGGCACTGATGAGCACTGACAAGGGTACTGATGGACACTGACAGGTGGCACTGCTGGGGCTACACTGATCATCCCTGATGATCAGGGTACATGTCCCCTCTGCAGAAAGCCGATAACCGGCATTTCCCTGTTTACATGTGATCAGCTGTGATTGGACACAGCTGATCACATGACCGAGCCGACATCTTCGGCTCTTTCTGTGACCGGTGATCCGCTGTGTTCGAGTGCATCGCCACACTGCGCGCTCCCTGAGCCGCAGATGCGCGGTGAGAATGGGAGGATGTCATATGACGTCCTCCCAGAACGAGAGAACCACCTTGCGTCCGTCATATTACTATATGGCAGGCTGGAGGTGGTTAAATGAATGGGCTGGCAACACACAAAAAAAAGCACACCTTTAAATCACTGACTCTGATGACTAAGGAAAAAGACTATAATGGCATTATAGTTTTGTTCTTTAATTTGACGACAAACCTGCAAACTTTTTGGCCAAAATTTTGAGATTCAAAAACTCATGGTAGCAGCAAAACTGATCCTCATCTATAGTCAACGCTGACTAGTGCTTTCAGCAACAATGGTGCTTTGTTTACACTGTGGATTTAAGCCAGTGGGCCCAGCAGGTTATAAAGTGTAGGCTTGTACACAGGAGAGTAGGCTACCAATTTTAGCCAGCTTGGGAGCAGTGAAATATCTTGGAGTTGGTCATATGTTTACTTTTTTTAGTAATACATTTCTTTTTCATATTAGTCAGAAATAAAAGAACCCAGGTGCACACACAGCAATTGCAGGTATGAAAATAAAGAGCTTCATATGGGTGCTGGAAATCAGTTACTTGAGGTGGTGTGAGCACATTTTTATTCATCTGTACTAGGAAAGGAACTGCTGCTGTTTGATCATCTCATTTTGGCTTAATGCTCACAGTTGGTAGGGGGTTATTTGTGCCGATTCAGTCCATTGACATTTACTGTGTGACATTGCCATTCAGCTGTAGTGTGTGTTTGCTTACACCACTGTATATTCTGACATGTATCTTGCTTCAGCTCTTATCTTGTCAGAGTTGGTTATTGTTTGCTTTTGTCTCTCCTTAAAAGGAGCACACAATGCTGGAAGTGCACCTCACATGAGTACATAAACCTAACTGGGGGGGAAATTCTATAGTTATGCTACAGAATCTAGCAAAGACCAAAATTTAAAGTACAGATGAAAGATATGTGCTGGAGCATATAAAAAGTAAAGATCTTGCCCACAGCAACCATTCATATTCCATCTATCTTTTTTTTGCTGTAGATCAGGAAATGAAAGCCAAAATTACATTTGTCTGCAACTTTACGCTTCCACCTTTTATAACAACTTCCCTTGTAGAGTAGATGAACATTACTTAAAAGATAAGTTTGTTTTTTTTCTAATTAAACTTACCTAGGTGGATGCAGCATCAATCCAATGCTGCATCTGTCCCCTGTTGGTTCTAAGGGTGAGAACTGAGCTATCTCCATCCTAAAGGATCCTATTGTGTGCTTGCAGCTGCTGGTAGGAAAGAGAGGAGGGAAGCTGGTAGCACTGTGGTGAGGGGCACATAGGGGGGCCTGGGCAGCAGGGGAAAATGTATGGTGCACAGGGAGGGCGATGGGTCCGGTAGGGGGGGGCAGTTACTGGAACCGATCCCCTGTATGGCTTTCTCTGCAGCAGCTTGAAGCCAGTGGGAGAGGAGAAGACAACAGCTTTCAGCTTCTTAGAATAAAATAAAAAGAATATACTGGATCCCGCGCCACCAATGTGTAGAGTATATTAAGTGAAAATATGTGCTACAAATCAATTATATTATTCAGTAAAAACTGATATTGAGGGTAGCTGCAAACAATAAAGTGTTCCGACGATATAAATAATAATCCAAACAATGTGTTACAAACAATAATCCAAACAATGTGTTACATTGTTTGGGGAGGAGGCTGCGCCTCCCCAAACAATGCCTTACAAACAAACCAACATCGCATCAGACATTAAATTAATTGTCTTAATTAAGTTTATTGTTGACAATTAAGTTAATATCTTATGTGATGTTGGTTTTTTCGTAAGGCACTGTTTGGGGAGGTGCAACAGTACACATTGTTTGGATTAAGCTTTCAGTTGCTGCAGAGAGTCATCCACTTGGGTATCAGTTCCAGTAATCCCCGCCCCCTGCAGTGCTGATCACCCTCCCTGCCCACATCTAATTCACTCGGCTGCCTGGGCCCCGTGCAGGTGAACTGGTGGTACCCCCTTATCCACTGCCCTGGAAAATAGGATTCAGTTGTCCTTTGGACCGTCAGAAAGTTTTAAGCTTTAGGCTCGGTTCACACTGCTGTGACCCCAAAGTCATGCGACTTGCTTGCAATTTCCTTGTGACTTGCTTGCAACTTTTGTGATGTAACATTGCAGTCTAGTGCATGGCAATCAAGTCACACCAGAGTCGCAGAAAAGTAGTGCAGGAAACTTTTTTGTCACTGCGACTGGAGTCACATTGATTAAGACTGCACCCATTGAAATAAATGTATTTTGACTTGTCATGCGACTTTGTGTTGTAAGTCGCAGCAGTGTAAACCAGGGCTTATTATGGAAAAAAAAACACCATCTGTTATAAAGGGTTCTAATGGAATTGCTTTTCCCTGGCAGGTGTAGCCTAGTATTTTCATAAAAAGAAATACAAACTGTCCTGTTGATGCCTTAGTTTATATAAGTGGCATAGCAGAGTTTTCTAAATGTCAAATATCTCAGTTTTTGTATGTGTATGGGTATATTTTCATAACTGTAAACAAAGACCTTTAGCAACCTTTCTGTATTCTTTATTAGAGAATATAATTAGTAGCTTTAGTAGGTATAATGTACATTTTTTGTTTTTGCAATAGTGGTACTTTAAAAAAAAAAAATTGTACTGTATGTTATAGAATAAGAAATAACATAGCATGCCAACACCTTAAAAATGTGGATTAAATGGGGCTGAAATGCTGTAATCACTAGTCTGTTTAGCATTATACTAAGCTACGTTCTTATGGAAAGCAGTGGGCAATTTAGTTGCGTTGCTTCTCATCTTAAGGAGACCGTGTTAGCAAACCATTCATTTCAACAAAAGTCTTACAGAATGTTATATGTGCATTTATACATGTTTTTTATACAAGCCTCCCTTGTGTAGACATCTGCATGGCCTGGCGGCTGCCACCGTGTTGCATGTGCTGTCAGCAGTCTCAACAGACTCTGGGCTGTCACTCAATAGAATAGAATAGAATCACTCAATAGAATTTCCCATTCTCCTTCCCCAGCCACTGCTTAGTTTATGGAAAGGAAATACGCTGAAAGTAAAAATTTTACATAGTTGATTTTCTGTGCGTTTACCCGCAGTTTTGTACGTTAGTGACAGGGTCTCTTTAAAACTGCAATAGTGGAATTTTCTAGCCATTGGTGGTTTCATTGTTTTGCAGTTCAAATCAGGGAGTGAATGTTCTCAAAAATTATCAATCTAGGTATTTTGAGCTTTTAACTTCTGCAAGCAAACTCTTCCCGTCCCAAGTATGTGATTGTGCAGCCATGATAAGTGGGCAGTTGTTAATTTTTGGGTAATATTGGTAACATTTAAGCACCGATCTAGAGTCTTCCTTAATTTACTTCTTAGGCAGGTAATACAGGGGTCAAATTCTGAATGGATTTTCCTTAGAAAATCAGAAATTTTGTGCGTTTTGTAATATGATGGTGTCACCATTGATTTCGAAATTCAGCCAACCAAGCCTTGAATTTCACCTCATGTTGCTACAGAAAAGAATTTTCGTGGCTGGGAATCTACTTTTCTTTCCAGGTCACAGCTCATGCTCATTTCTTTTTCGATTATATTTCTTGTTCAATTTTCCCATCATTGATTAGAAATTCTGTTTTTTTAAAAAACGTCCAAATGCCCGATCATTCAAATTCAATGGCCGCGCAAAAATTGGCAGATGCTGCGGCCCACTAATGGTGCGAAATTCTAAAGAAAATTCTTGGTTACGATTTTTTTAAAAAAAATACTCCTTTTTTTTTTTTTCTTCTTTTTTTAACAGTAAAATGAAGGAATGCAATATTTAACATTTCACACTGCTCGCTTTTTTTCAGACTTTCTTAAGAAATAATTTGTAGCTGTACGTAGCTTGTACACATTTAGTAGACCCAGTTGGAGCCTATATTAACAAGGATCCTGCCTAATTAATTATGAAACTATCTGTTAAATCTAACAATTGCAAATTAATTTCCTTTTTACATCAACAGAAATATTTAATTATTTGATTAGGTCCTAAATGAACTATTTTTAGACATATCGTTGATTGAAGGAAAGTGTGTATCTCTGAGCTTATGCTTACAGTAAGGGAAAAAAAAAAGACTGCGTATTTGGTGATCCAAAAATATATTTTAGTGTATATGTATCTGTGTGTGTGTGTGTGTGTGTGTATATATATATATATATATATATATATATATATATATATATATGTATATATATATATATATACTTTTTTTTGGTATTTTGAATAACAGCTAAGTTTATTTTATAGTTCTTTAGCATCACAGAGAGATTTGTGGCAATAAACAGTGTGTGACTACACTAAGCCAATCAAGATACTTGCTAGGGAATTTTTGTCTAGAAGTTTTTGGGATCATAGTGAACTGAGCATGCTCTGTACCAGTAAATGGATTGTTCACATTCTAAGGGACATCCATGCATACCTTTTAATACCTGCATGCACATATGTATAAAGTGGAAAAGAAGGAGCTTTACTTCCATATCCCTTGATCAGTAACCCATTTAAAATGTGTGCTTTATCTGTTTAGTGATAGTGTTTTTATTTTTATTCTATTGTATTTTAGTTTATATATCTGCTATAACTAAAGACTCCATGACCTATTTGAAGTATATTGGCTTTGAGGAAAGCCCTATTGCTGTCTCAGAACATTGCACTCGAGCTGAGTTTTCTGCCTTTCAAGCATTGATTTCTTTAGCAATTAGTATCCTCCTTTTCACGATAGATTGTTTATGAAGTGAGCTGGGCATGAGACACAGTTCGCATTTCTCACTTTT